TTCCATTGCTCGTTTGGTTTTGCTCAAGTAAATTGCCGATAAAGACGTCTGTAAAAAGCATTTATGGACGCAATGCAGCATGATCGTACAAATGTGATTCTTGGGGCTGCATATCTCTCCAATCGATGAAAATGTACGTGATAAAAGTTTTTCTCTGTAAAATTGAATCGTACCTACTAGGTACATAGGATGTATCGTAATTCAAATATTGTCTTTATTTAATAAGATATATTAGTATTATAATGAAAAATCAATGTGAAGTTTGAGAATATATAAAACAAAATTAAATCGCATACCTTTTAGAAATTTTAAAGCAAATAAAAAAAATTATTCATAGTACTAAAATCAATTACAAGACTTTTAATTCTCAGACACAAATATACGCTTTTTTCTAAGGACGCAACTGTTAGAATTGTTCCATTCTTGCCACGATAACGTGATCATTCCCGAGTCAAATTGGCAGCTACGAAAGTAATTAGAATCCCTAATGATCGCAAGTGCGCTTAAGTAAGTGCCAGTAACAACGCATTATTAGGGTATAGATACTCGAGCAGCTTTTCTCCCGGGGGCCGAAACTTGAAGCAGCTATTCTAGTTAAGAATCTCGCCATTACCATCGCCTTTTGTGTAAATGGCTCTTGTTCGGTAGTTGAGCGGTAGTTCCCTTATAAGCGTGGCGCTTGCCACGGGGAGTATCGTAATGCAGGTGAGCATCTTGGTTCATGTTCGAAAACGCATTCTGATCCAACGCGTTAGTATCCAACGACTAAGACGGAAGTGTCGAGTTATCTCATCGTCGATAAAACATTAATCCGTAAAATATGTACGTGTTTGGAATATAATATAGTAACTTATCTCTATTAAACTTGATAGTATATTATCTATCAAACTTAATAGTAATTTGTCTGTAAAGAGAGATCTCGATTGCAAGTATCGGATAAAATTATGATATAAAAATAATGCCATACACACACACACACACACATGTATAAGAGGGAAATGCAACTAAACTTATGCAACTGCAGCGTAATCTCCCGAACAATTATTTACTTCACCGCATTCGGACCGCGATGTATCATATATTCCCTTATCGTCGTTTTATCCTTCCGTAAATGACGCGTCTATCGGGCGCAATCGCACGCAACGGTCCGTCGGTGACATACTGGCGAGTGATGCGCAATCAGTATGACATGACGTCGGATATGCACGCGTGTCATACATACGTACACTGTATATCTGGACACATGACATTCCGGACGGTGTCCACGCGGCCGCCATTGATCGCTGCATTCGAGCGCAATCAATTTCTATCGGCAATGGCGCGAATGAAAGATCATTATCGGCGTAGGAATGCAGCGGCGACTCTCGCTCCTGACGATATGGCGCGTAACATATAGGTCCATAGTTCGTGTTACTGCGATTGTTCTGCCTCCTCTCTTTGTTTCTCTCTCTCTCTGTTTCTCTGTCCCTTCTCCCTCTTTCTCACTCACTCTATCTCTCTCTCACCCTTCCTTTGCTGCTTTCTCCTTCCCTCTCCCTTCATGTCGCCGGCAGTAATACATTCAATAATCGCACACACTCGTACCGGACCTGTCCCGCCGCTAACTTATCCCTCGATATACCGTCAGCTGCGTATGTCTGTCAGATTAATGTCCTTGATCATTACAAACGTATGGACATCAGTCTCGAGTGAATGATCGAGTGAAATACGAAAAATGATCCGCGACTGTATTCCTGAAATGCAGTTGCTTCATTGCCGATGTAACTAATCGACCATTTGTGTTTTACGCCGAGAAGATTATTATTGAAGAAAATGAACGCAAGAATTATAGTAAACAGTATAGTCTGTGAAATAATACATGCAATTTATTTAAAACAATGCAGCAACGATAATAATACCCTTAAATCACATCAAAAAGTGCGTATCATATGTTGATCTCCGTTGAATCACAAAACGGAACGACCCCTTTTTTTTATTTGATGTGAAACAAGCCATCTGGTAACGATACAGGAGCGATAGTAGTATCGGATGACCCGCAATTTTCTTTCGGGAGGGGAAACCCTCGTTCTTATCTGAACGTATTTCGCAGAGAGAGAGCGTTTACTATCTCCCATGCTTGTTAGATTTTTTGCGGGCAACACGGCGGAGTGATGATTCAATTACGGACGAAGTCGCGGTCAGCGTACGCGCGTGTGGTCTTCCCTCGATTTATCTCTACCTTTCATTCAAAAGTGAAACAACGCAGCGATCGGTCAAAGATGGATCGATGACTCGGTTAAAAATGAGCGAGCCGATCCGATTTACATTTTTCCGAAATTTCGGAATATTCCGTCGGAATAGCTCGCAGATATCCGCGAGCAGAGCAAAAGGATGCCGAGAGTACTTAAACTTAAGAGCGTTCTCGAAATCGAATATAACATATATCCTATGCATAACGCCCTGAATATTTGTGCCAATAAACTGGCGCGATTGTGCTTGGATTGTTTCTTAGAAAAATGAAGAAAAACAGACTAAAAAAATGTCAATGTAATTTTGTTGCAAATGTAGTGACAATGATTATTATATTATGGCTAAATTATAATGTGATTATTATTACTAAATCTACATTGACTGCTTTAAAATTTTTTTTTAAGATTCTCTATATGTATAGAATCCTGAAAATATTCAATATAAAATATCAATTTTATAAAAATAAAAAACTTGTTAAGAAGCAAAATTGCAAATACAACTGCATTTAATATATTTCGATTGTCTATGGTTATACACGTGTTTCGAAAATTGGCAACTAAACGAACACTAGTGAAAATGATTCACGTGTCTGTCTTCTTTGTCACAAATAGTTTGATGATAATCGAAGAACGAAGATCGATGGTCGAATTCCATCAATTCAGCTGGACTATGTGAACTGTCGAAATAACTGATCGTTTCTCTTAATAGGCGCTATCGTTTGTGAAGAGTCGTTGAATTCTCGAGATATCTGCAGCAAATTGTAAAACGAACGATGTCCTGCATCTCTCTTTAAGGAATGCTCGCAAGAAGCATTCGCCGAATCGTCCAGGGACGTATCTCTGGAAAGGAAATAAAGCTCTTTCGCAAGCAGTGTCCACTGACAAATATGCTCGACTACGACTGTCCTGCACTCGAGCAGCGCGTCAACGAGAATTCCAGAACACCGTAGGATCTCCATTTTAGCGTAACAACGTTAGCATTAGCGTCGCAAAAACCTTTTTCTCTTAACAGCTAACGATGAACTCCTCGTATTCTCGTTAACGTCGTATCTTAACGACGTTTGTGCTATCTTTCTCTCTCTCTCTCTCTCCCTCTCTCTCTCTCTCTCTCTCTCTCTCTCTCTCTCTTTCTCTTACTCTCTCTCTTTCTCTTACTCTCTCTCTCTGATTGTCAGACGACGAAATCAAGGAGAATACGTGGTCTCTGCGACCCGCAACTTTGTCAAGTGGCGACGACACTCCGCCAAAGCCTTTACGAGCAATGTGCTGAAAAGAAAATTACGTTTTGAAATTGTCGTTGGTAAACTCGCAAAGCTGAAGAATGCAAGGAACGATCTTGTTTAATGAGAAAACCGACATCTTAAGAGGATTTATCTGGGACATATTGAAAAATATGAAGGATATCGCTTGCTCTAAAATTTCAAACGAAAAATCAAGATTTTCGACAGAAATAATTGAAGAAAACGGAGGAAGCAGCCTGGCGATGTAAACGCATATGACTCCAAAATGGATGTTGTACAAGCTATTTCATTTAACAACGCCCTGTATCGTAAACTTGCAAACTACGTTTAACTCGGTAAGCCTTCGAACGATACACGTGTTGCAAAATGTTATTACACGGAATAACGCGCCACGATAATAATACGGTGAGAAATACTCCGAATCTCTTCACGACGCAACCGCTTAATTCATTCATGTTTTACTTCATTAAGAAGTTAAATAATCGGGTAGCTCCGTGAGAATAAATGCCGGTAATGCGAGCAACAAAAGGAACTCGTTTATGAAACAGTAATAAGCTATCGCCGCCGACGATGTTCGCGTTGGTTTTGGCATTCCCGGGGAGGAAATGAAGATCTCCCTGTGCCGCCGCAGACCGCCTGCTCGCAAGTCGGTCAGCAAACGGCAGAGGAAGTCTCGAAACTGGTTTGTCAGATAATTGAGATCCACCAATGGGAATCCGAGAAACTCGGAGAATCTCGGCCGACGGACTGTAACGATCCTGTGTACCGCGGAAGCGGAGATTCGCCGAGGTAGGTATTTCCAGCAACAAGATTTAATGGCGGGGCGCGGGAAGGACGGGATAAAGAAGAAACACATCGACGCTACGTTTTTCGCTCGTTGATTCTTACGGAACGACGGGACAAAAATTCCAGACACGCAGTACCGCGCGGTATTACTTCCGCGGAAATTAAACGGGCTCTCTTAACGCCTCGAGATACGGCCATGGCGGGTAGAGATATCGATATATCGGGTAATTCTAACCGGTTTGAGAATGGGACACTTGAAAGGAATCCGTACATCTCGTTCAATGATTTTTTCTCGAGATCGCATATAAAGGGAATTTCTCGAATAGAAACTCCCAGTCATCCGGAATTGATTCCATCGGTACTTCTTACGGTGGAACCTGTTTTCCGCGTAATAATGTGAATATAATGCCGAGCGACCACTCTTTTGCACGGTTATTGCATTTTATTTCCGCAATTTTTTTCTCTTCTTTAGATCGCTCTTGAAAAAATACGGAACAGAAAATACGTGTATGGTAAAAGAAACAATCTCGTAACAACAACAAAATTTATATTCAGCTGTTGGTTTCTGCTAGAGTGTGCTTCGAAAAGAAATATTAGTAAATCTCCATCACGAACATTCCTTGTTTGCAATAAAATCAATGAATATTCACAACATAAGTAAAACAACATATAAGACCATTTTAGAAATACAAAAACCTCTAGGAAAAATTAAAAATATTGTACATGCCATCCTGTTTCATTGCAGAGCCTGTAACAGAAATAGCCGGCGGTCCAGATCTGTTCATCAACAAGGACAGTACGATAAACTTAACATGCTATGTAAGATACGCGCCCGAACCCCCGTCGACGATAATTTGGAGTCACAACGACCAGGTAAGCGGATCTTGACCTATGACCTGCGAGTGAAGTTCCAGTCACTTGCTGAAAATCACTTGTCATGTTGCTGTCAAATCTAAAACTCGCGTCATGAGAGAGGTTTCAACTGAAATTCATCAGAATTTCGTAACCGATGCTAGTTGGTGAACAGACATCAACACAAACAAAAACATTTTTCATGTTTCTCGTGGTCGTTAAAAAAAAGTCCGTGTTTTCGTCGGTCTGACACGTATATCGATTATAGCTGGTAGCACGCTTTAGTTTCTTTGAGCGTACGATATTTATGGAAGACGACGACAACGGTTTGCTTTTTCCCGTATTTCGACAAGGTGATGTATTTCGGTTTAAACAATGTGCAATGGAATTACAATTAAAGGATTTGTTTGTTCAGGATAATATTCATTTTATTCGTAGAGTGAAACAGCTATTTTTGTCTGCGACAATATACAAGTATTTCCATTGAATAACAGGGTTTCTCTTTCAACGCCATGAGACAAATCATTTATTTAAAAGCAACGCAAAAGTTCCTCGTGTATATTTTAAATCGCGCACGTAAACTACAAACAAGCAAATACCTCGCGATGTTACGTTAGTTTTATACATTTTAGTTTAAAAGTCCTCGCATTTATTTTTGCAAACGCGCATATAACTGAAATAACCGAGACGTCACTTTAAGTTGTATTTTCCGAAAACTTGTCTCGAAATGCTTTCTGCCACTCAAGAAAGACACCTACAGTCGCTCCACTTTTGCCTCTTTCCGCAAAGTGCTTTGAATTCCATCTAGTCACGTCAGGGACAGACGAAACGACTCTTATCTCTGTCTTCTTTCACGAACAAGTAATTAACTTCTGAATCGACTAATTATTCGTACTTACATTGCAATTATTCACGGCAATCATCTTCAACGATAGTTGTCGAATTATATAGAGAAAGAAAAATTGCAAAATAGAAGTTGTAATATCATTTTAGCATTAATTGAAATTTCTCATTTATTTATCATACATTAATGCCTTTTATTCAAGTTATTCAATCTAGATGTTTATTTCAATTTTAATTTTAATCCAGATTTATAATACTTATTTTAAAATATTTTGTAATTATAGTAATAAATCTCTTTAAAATCATCATTAATATCTTTTCATCAATATATGAATGTATATGTCTATCTTATACTTATATATATAATTATAATGCGCGCAATCTTTAATAGTATTAATTAAACCTAATTAATTCAATAACGTAACAAATTCTTTTCTAAATCTTATTAAAATAACCATATATAGTTTGTGTAATTTGGCTTTCATTAATTATCAATTTTTTTTATTCATTAAATATCTTCTGTTATAAGATTAGACATATTTAAAAATAAAAATCTTACAATGATGCATTTTGTATTATATTTCACGAAGCAGGTAGAAAACAGCAACAATACACATAATTTCAAAAGAGAATTCTTAATCTTCTTGTTGAGTTCTACAAATCTTCTCAATATAATTAATGTGTAAAATATTCTCTTGCTTAAAGAGAATTATTGTAAATATCCAAATTAAAATTTGGCCACAGCACAATAAAACATGAAGTATGCATTGTGTAAGAGTCAATATCTTAAATATTCTCGATACTTTTATAATCATAATTGTATGATACAACTACGTATTTTTTTTTTTATATTGAAGCGGAGAGGTCATAAAATAAGTATATTCTCGTATTCAGAGAAAAAGTCTTGGGAAAGGATTTCTGTCACTGCAGCTAACACGTTCCTTCTTCAGCTTTTCCCACAGAGTGGCCTTATCCGCAGCTGGTCACGTCAGAGGCAAGTAACCCGATGTGCTTTTTATACTCCTTCTTTCGCAGGCGATTAACTTCGACTCACCGAGGGGTGGCATCAGCCTGGTAACGGAAAAAGGGCCCGTGACTTCGAGCCGTTTACTCATTCAGAAGGCGATCGACAGAGACTCCGGCATTTACACGTGCTCGCCCAATAACACTCGTCCTAACAGCGTACGGGTCCACATAGTCGATGGTAACGGAAAAATGCCAATTTCGCTTAGAACGGGGACTACGTGCAAACATCCCAACTCTTTTAAACTCTTTCTTAAGTAAGACGTTCTTTAAAAAACCGAAGCAAGTTCACTAAAATGCCGCAATGTTGAACAAATGGACATGTTTGGAAGTTTAGCAATAAATTATGATGACTTTTATCTTTCTATTGCAAGACAAAAAATTTACAAGAAATTTGTTTAAAATAAAAATAACGTAAAATAGGATTTTTAGCGAAAATTATATTTATAATTCAACAGTTAGCATCATGTCTCAAAAATTATTTTTCCTGTGATTGTCATGTTTGACGTAATATTAATAGACACTGAAAGAAACACCCTATCAAATGATCTTAGAATGGTCTCTAATATAGACCGTTTAGACGCGTAACAAATCATTCTTTCGAGACACAAGCAAAGATACAAGAAAGGTGTCTCATAAAAAATGCTTAGCTTGTAACCGGTCGAATAGAACGGCGATAGCTTTGTCCCCAAAGCGAGAGCCTCGCTCTCAACGATGCGGAGAGAAACGTCACTTTAAATACCACCTGCTAAGAGCCGCTCGAGCGAAACGACATTATAGCGTGGCGTTTGTTTCAGAAGAACACCCAGCAGCGATGCATCACGGCAGCGGCGACAGAATGGCCGCGACGTTGCTTCCGGTCGTCCTACTTCTTTGGATGATATTCTAGCCGACGCTATGCACTCCGGGTTGAATGCGCGCGAACTTAAGCACGGTCGTCTAACTCCTACGAAACTAGCGGGCGGAGGGTCTGTTTCGCGGTTTTGTCTTCCGGAATTCAGCTCGCTGCGACGCGCATTCGACACATCCGCCTTGCGAAAGTAACGCGAATCTCACCCATGGTTCGCGTCACGACGTCTCTCCCATTACATTGTTAGAGTGTCAGGTTGACGCATCTACTATACGAGAAATTCAATTGCTATGTCGTCATCTGGAAGACGCAAGATGAAACGGATAATATTAGGATGAATATATCAGTAAATGATAGATCGATGCGATTACAATCGCTGAATATATATTTCGTTTTATGTGATCGTGTATAAAACGATATAATTATATTTTTTGAAAAATGAGGGCGAAAATCTAGCTTAATACCTAGAAGGTTAAGATACAAAAATTTAAAGAAAAATAATATTTTCGATTAGGAAAGAAAGTTGAATTATCCAACGAAATTTCTTAATTATTCATTGAATCATTCTTTCACCGATTTTTCTATCCCGTAATCAACAGGCAAAAGTTACTTTACAACACTTCTTAACACGATTAGTCGGTTTGCCGAAATTGAAACTCTCGCGGTACTTTCAAGGCCGTTGTCATTTTGCGAAAAAGAACAACGTCTAGAATCTTACCACGCTAAGAAAACAAGTACGAAGTCTTTTTTTGGTCCGGCGACGAGTCGCAAGTCCGTTTCCATCGTCTGGAATCTTTCTCCTTACTTTGTAAAATAAAAATCGTCTACGAAAAAAAAACCCTTTTTGCAAAGGCGGAGAATAGCCATACTAATATAATGCTTGACCTAAAAACGAACCAACAAACACATTCCTGAAATGATACTTGCTAAGGAAGGAAACAACAATGAGAAAATTACACTAATCCAAGGAAATCCAAGTTGAACGCGATATTTTCCGATATTAAGCAAGACTAAAGAAAACCTCTCTTTGCGCGCTATGTTTCACGAATTTCGACAACTGAAAAATAAAAACGATTGGGATAATTAGAGGAACGTAACATCATCACGCAAAATTGCGTGATAATACGCGATGAGTTTATTAATGTATCAAATAGAAGGAACACACGCACTGCCAAACGCAATATGTCGGAGATATTTCATTTATAATAAAATTTATCATCGCGCGTCTACCATTTCCACTTAACAGCCTTGAACACGAACGTCGCGTTTTCGTTATTGCAGTTATTCAATTATTGAATGCACTCGGTAGCCTGAACGTTCCACCCGTTGCGACTGTCAACAATGTCTCGGCTGCGACTAGTCTCGGATATATATCTCGACGTAATCTTGTTATCGGATTATTGATTGTCGCGCATGAGACGAGCTGGAGGCTTTTATGCAAGCAGAATATTATTAATTATAAATACACACACATCTAAAAAAGCTGCTATGCTGCGTTATGATGGTGCTCTAAAATTTGAAATATATAATAAGATGTGATAGAAATGTAACGCAGGGATGAAAACGCGTGAGTTATTTCAACGAAGTTAAAACATGATATATACCATCACCATCACTTACGTGGATATGCGCGGATATCGGAAATATTTATTGAGAAAATATTTATTGAGAAAATTCAATTTTTTTTAAACTGCTGCTTTTATTTATTTCAATTTCCTTTAACAAGCTCTTTCTCTCTTTCTCTCTCCTCTCTCTAGCTTAGTTTCATATTATATAAAAAAATTAATAAATTTAATATTTTATGGTCCTAAATATTACAACATAACAATTGTACTATATAAGTATGTTACTTCAGAAGCTAGAAAAAACTGAACCTCGGAATATAATCAATAAGAGAGAGAACAATTTAACACACGATGTATACTGCATTATATGGCGAATAGGCGCTGCGTTTGCGCCTTGTACACATCAAACGAGAAAACTCATTAAACTTCGGAAGTAAGGATTGAGGCGGAAAGGGGCGCAGGATTTTCATGCAGATACGTAAATATAACGGGCTTTTCCGGGCTCGCGGCGGCGCAACTTATTTATAAAAAGAGGGAAGGTTTATTCGCCGAACTTATAATGCCCGACTTCGAGACGGATTTTGTCCTTGTTATGGTTATCGGTAAAAACGTATTGTTCAAAAGTGCATTAGCTCTCGGAGATTCGAACACGATGCGCCGAGACGATCCCGAGACTGTTCCGCTTTCCGCCCGTAAAGGGGACTGCATCGTGTCTTGGCGTGAGTATGGCAGTATTATTGCGCCGGAAATGTACCTCGCTTTTTCAGGACCACTCGCGAGAACGCTGAAACGGTTTCGATATGCCCGATCCTTGTCGCTATTAGCGTCCAAGATCTTTCTTCTGTCAATGGGACCATGTAATCGGAACAGATTTTGGTCCAATCGCGAATAATTCACGTTAGCAATTGACGCCGACGTGTATACGAAACGGACGGTCCTATAATTGCTGTATATACTGAGTTAGAAATGTAATATTATAAGAATGCATCGGTGCCAGTCTTTTATCTAACTTACAATGACACCGAAATTCGTGTATTTCGAGGATCTCACGTGCAATGTGTGTATATGTTTTTTATAGATGCTGATATATGTACGCGCCTAAATAGATAAGGAGAAAAAATTGAAAAAGCGTAGATTAAGTGTTACTTATGACGTCTTTCTGGATCGAAATCTTTTTCATAAATCTGTACATGTTCACCGACTTAACGGACAGCGTCGGAAATTTTTATTTGCGCACGCATTTAATAAAAGAATGAGAAAAATTGACTCTAAAGTACAGAATGAACGTGAATCAAAGACCCACACACATATTAGCTATATAGATAAGTATCTATAATCAAGTGATTAAGTGATTTCTTACATCGGGTCGCTTGGTAATTGCAGATTTTTTTCTTAATGTTCCGCAGCTACTCGTTAACCATGTTTTTCTTTGCTCTTGATTACCGCTGACGTCGCGTTTTAAAAGAACAATTTTAATTAATACTTGACTCAACAGACGCTAATTACCTCCTTTTATGACGCGAAAATTCTTTCACGCCTTCCTTTTCGCTGCTTTGTAACACTAGCCGGTCATCTTGTTCGTTAAATTTCACTTGCCGCGACCGTAACTCGTACCACAACATCCCTTTTCTTTTTCAACCCCAAAGTGTTTCTATCATACGTTTGTATCCACAAAATAGAAAGTGCATGTTATGGCGCTTTTTATAATTTAATATTATAATAATGCTGTTAAATGTTTATAAGTGAAAAGTGGGACTATAATTAAATCGAAGATAATAAAAAAAGCCGTGTGATATAAAATTGATATAAAATCTACTAGTATCAAAAGTATCAAAGTTTGTTTGCCTTTTTTCTATCTTTTTATGATACCGATTATATATATAATAATATTAATATTACATTTTATACCGCGTTTAATGTCGAAAAAAATATTTATATACATATATTATACAAATTATCATATATTAATTATATTATTTTATATTATATTACATTATTTTGTTATATTTTTGTATTTATAATTGCAATTAATTACTATGTGTAATTATCAAAATAATAATTAATATATAAATCACATAAATAATTCACATAATATGTGTGTCGAAAGATCAAGCCTAGTAAAAGCGTAAGTATCTTTTTAAAGCACCTTTCTAATATTTTTGTAGATACATATATAAGATATATACATATAGTATATGTGTGTGTGTGTATATTCTCTCATATAATATATTCGATAATCGATATGTAAAGTTCAGCTCTGCATAATTATTTTCATAATTATTATCTTCGTATAAAGCGGAGGTAGCAGGAAACTTTCCGTTGGCAGGCAATAATTTTCATCGCAAATGTAATTATTAACGCTCGTCGAGCATTATATACGGTGTAGTTCATTATATGTGAATTAACAAATTTAACGACAGTTCCAGAGCGTGCATCATATCGCGATGCTACCGGTAACGACGCATTAGTATAGTAGTTCCATCAACGAGACACGCATCCAATCGGAAAGTCGATAGACTCTGTGACGTGACATGCGATCATACATTTCATTTCACGAGCGCTAAATATGATGCGTTATTTTTTGTTTTATTTCCGAAATACGATATACATCTTTTTTAAATAACTAAACATAAATTTCAGTAACAATAAGAATAATACAATGCATTCAACGGTTTAGCAGACTAAATTTCAAATGGAGTATCAAATTGATGAATACAATATCAATGCCAGTCGATCAACGAACTGACAGGCATAACTATTCGTTCGCGAAACAAACTCTATCAATTTTATATAGAATTTTATATAAAATTAAAGATTGAAATCATATTGTTAAAAATTAATCCGAAATTATTGCAATTTGCATTTTTAACCGTGGATGACTGCACTGTTACGGTTCGATGAGCTAATACAGAATTGGCGGTGCCATCAGCAGAACATACATAATTCCAGCATAGATTCTCGTACAAACTGCGATAATTCCATCAGTTAGTTCTTGGTTAATATAATAGGTCAATCATCAGTCGTCAAGCCAGCAAGTACGTCGAAATATTCTATATCCATACGCGTAACTGATGTTGGTAGTCAATAGTTGCATGGCTGTGTCAGTTGGTATTGTTAGAAGTAATCATGTACATTGCGCATTGTCATAAGTATCCGTATGAACGAACAGACTATAATGCATCAATTGAGATATGAAGAGGGCTATTGAAATTGTACCGCTCCAATTAATATCTAAAGCGGCAGATAACTCGCGGCCCCGTTTACTCGACATAGAATTCTGTGCGTAGCAGCTTTCGGTGGCACAACATTTTGGAGGTCTCTCAATGGTTGTTCCGTGTTATTTCGAGAAACTCATCCGCGGATAACGATAAGCAAATGTTTGTTTCAGAGTTAGCAACGACGCCTAATCCGAGCCACGAAAATCGAGCCGCAAACCGAGACTGAAATAAAATTAATGTAAGTAAATAATGCGCAAGACAAGGTTGACAAAAACAGTTAGCGATCTCGTCGCCTTGCATATTCATTTCAAACTTCAACTTGAGATTATTGTGTATAGAAAAATATATCGTACTCATATATCTGCTAGATACATCAACATTGCACTAAAATAACTGTACAAGAAACATGTTCTTTTTTTTTGTGCTAGTGCAAAGACATATTCGCTGAAAATATTGTGAAAGTTTAAGTTCACGAAAACTAAAAAAGAGAAAATAAAATAAAATTTGTACTTCACGAGATTTCATATTTTATTAAAATGTAATTGCTGACAAAGATTAATAATTAACACAAAGAAATGTTTGCGGGAATAATGTACGAAATTTACCTAATAAAATTTATCTTATTGATCAAACTAATGGTTAATATAATAAAAAAATAATATTATAATATCTCTTTATATATCTTTATAATATCTCTTTATATTACTCTAATAAACTTGCGAGGTCATGTAACAACTTAATATGTACGCGAGCATGCAAACTATGTGTAATTATCTGACTTAAATATGACATCAAATTGGATTTGTCGATTGATGAAGACGAATTTTGGTAAGTACTTATATATTAAGTAATTCAATCTCTGCTCTCGGTTCAATGTACGTTTCACGATGAAATCACTCTGAACTAATGAAATTAGTGCTTCCAGCAATTATCAGCGAACCGTATGACCAACAAGTACAACGCTCTTGTTCTGTTAGAGTATATGTGCTAAATATTGAAATCAGTATAAAGAATCTTCTTCATTTGCGAGTATGGATCGCACTACTTCATTTCGCTACAAGCTCCACGGACAAAGCGCTCGGGCGAAATTTCATTTAACTGCGAAATTAGGCACCGTGGTTAAATTACTTTTCGGGCGAAAAGCACTCGGGTGTGGCAGTTTGTCAAAACTAGGTACGGCTCTTTGACGCCATATTCAGACGATCTAATCAGGGTTGATGAAACATTAGAGTCACTCAGAACGTGAATTTAATAACCATGGGGAAAAGCGTAGCTCTAGTATAGCTTTTTCTGATAAAACTTTGAGATAACGGTATTATCGAAATATATTTCCTTTGCATAAAATATATATACGATAATTTTTACGAGAATGTATGACCTATATTTTTCTCGTTGCAAATTTTATATTCTGCTTTATATATTCGTGAGATATCGACATGTGTCAAAAAGTTACATCGAATAATATGGACTTATATATGCGAGATAAATTATGATAATCTCGACTAAAATTACATATTCGTACTTTCACCGATGACACGAAAAACAGTCTCAAGTGCGATTAGCATAGACAAAGAGCTTATCTTAACGTTCGCCCTTTCATGGAGTAACTTTTACCATCGGACACGACGGATTTGTAAAGCTGAATTTAATTTGAAAAGCAGATTTATGTGCTACGCCGTGCTCTTCTTACGCCGAAACTGTTCCTTGTTTCTTAATTACGTCTCCAGATCTGTTCTTGCCATTTTACGATTCGCATTTATCACGAGCCTCGTAAGATTCCAAGTGAAAATATACTGCCGAGAAACACAAGAGGGCAAAAGAGGAAGAGAAACAAGAGAGAGGGAAATTGCACAGCCGTTCGTTAAAACGTTTAATTTTATATGGCTCTTGCGAGGAGCCACTCTGTGTAGCTCTCTTTACATTATTTATTTTCTCACGAGACACACTCTGTTACGGGTGTGTTACGCGATCAAGCGTAATAAAGGTTCAAACACGCTCCCAAACAAGCTTCGATTAATGCTTAATTACGAAATAGTTTCCGTACTTAATTCTATCACTCTTTCTCTCTCACTTTTCTCTTTTTCTACTTAAGCATTTGAGTCTCGTTGAAGCGTATCAAAGGCACCAGTAGATAAAAAAATTCTAATACTTCTTTTCTTTATGTACTTTAGACTTTAAATGGGCAATTACAATTAGATAAAAAGATCATTATATGAAAAATATTATTTTTTTATATGTATACATCAGAATTAAAATAATGCACATTTCAGTTATAATATAATTCCGCTAATTGGAGACTCGTAATTGTGACATTATGCATATTATTGCGGAAAATATTATATCGAGACAATTATCTAATAAATTGTCATCGATAACAAATATCTGACGCAACCTATCGAAGGCTGAATTAATTAATATTAACAGCACGACAAACCGCAACGTTAGAACTTAGAACTCGCTTACACTAGCTGCAACCTCAAGAGAATACATTAAATACCCATTACAAGCTGTACATTAACCGGTATCTTGGCGTCGAACCCTCGGCAACGACGTCGCTATAATCTGAGCGAGGTTTAATTACTGCATCGTCAGCAAGTATCGGGGAAAAAGGATTGCACTAATCGGCAATTTCATCGGAGCGAAGAAGCAAACGGTACTATCTAACACAGCGGGATAAATCTGCGGGATCTGCTCGCTGGATGATCCTCGAGGGAACGACTTCCCGTTGTGCTCGTTGCCTTCGGAAGGCGTTATTACGCGCTCCCGCGGCAGTATAACAACGGAAGACTCCTTTTCTTACAGATGCTATCATCAATAGAGAAGAACAAAGTAAAAAAAAAAATGAAAGACTGATCTCCTTCGAAGAAGGTTAAAGATAAACATCGCCATTCACATATAAAATATTTTATCGTGTTACGTCTATTAGTCTCGATCATCATTCAACTGTGAAAAAATTTATTTTTGAAATCTTGTGCAAAAATTATCTGTTTTTATTAATTCATTTTGCTCTGAATCGTTGTATTGCAGTCATCGCAACAACGACGATGCATCACGATTTTTCTTTCTTCTCAAGTTAGTATCTCTTTCCAGTAGTCACGATCTACACTTTTTCTGTCATCTGTTGATGGATATCTACTGCAGCGTTAGTCTTACATTCGCTGCACATCTTATTCTTTACGTAATACAATTTTCGCTCTTTTCAATGAATGCATTGTACGGAATAGAAAATATTTGTGATACGCATACGTATAATTTAATGCTTAAACGCCAACTCGGTTACTGAATAAGTAATGCAAAATTTAATTTTAAAAAATGCAGAAAAGAGATAGAGAGAAGAGAGAGAGAGAGAGAGAG